ACTCCTGGGCTCAAGTGCTCCTCCTGCCTCAGCCTCCTGCAGCTGGGACTACAGGTGCGTGCTACCACCTCTATTTTTAGTAGAGATGGGTCTTGATCTTGCTCAGGCTGGTCTCGAACTCCTGACCTCAAGTAATCCTCCTGCCTCAGCCTCCTAGAGTGCTAGGATTACAGGTGTGAGCCACCGTTCCCAGCCCAGCACTGAGTATTGTTTAAAAAAAAAATTTTTTTTTTTTTTGCTAATTTGATTATTGAAAAGTACAACTTGAATTTTTCATGGGTTTGTTTATCATTTAGTTCTTTTGTAAATTATCTAATTTTTTGGTCTGTTTATGTTACTGGTTTCTTATTCATCTGTATGAACCCTTCATGTTAAAAAGACATATATAAAAAGGATAAAATAAAATGAGTCATGATCCTCTTGCTAGAGTTAGGTGCATAATTCTTATTTCTCTCTTTTCCATCAACTCTGTACACGGGGAAGAGAGATGGCCTCCAGGCCTGCAAGGACACAAACGTTGTTAAAATGGTACTACAGCAGCTATCTAACTGTTTTTTCCTTGGGCCAGAGTTGATTATACCAGAATTACAAAATACTAATGTGATATTATAAACACAAATATACTTATTGGGCACAAAGAAACTTGAGATACTTTAAACTCCAATCAAAGCACTGTTGAATAAAACAGAGAGACATTAAGTCCACTCCTGGATTACACCAAATTTTGCCAATGTTTATAGTATACACTGGTGGAGTTCTTATCCTTTAATGAATTTAGTTGAAAATTTTAGGGGTAATAAAGGCTTACCAGAAGGTGATAGATTAGATCCAATATTTTCCTAATTTCCCATCCTACCCACTCCTCCAAAACTCTAATCCCTTGGGGTGCCTATCCCCCTATCATTAGTGGGGAAAGAAAAGGAGGAATACAGAGAACATGTCGACTGATGTCTAAAGCCATCAGGGCAGTTGGTCTAAGAGAAGAGCACTGACATCTCCTTCTTCAGGTAAGAAATTATGACTGTGTGTGAATTCCCAGACAAAATGGAGACATTCAAAGACCAATGACATGTGAACTGGGGAAGAAGTGATGGCTCATTCAGGATGGGGAAGTGGGTTTGTCCCTGGGGGAAGCCCAGTATAACACTATGGAACTGATACTACTTCTCTATCTTCCAAGGGTAGGATGGGTAAGAGGTAGAGACTGGGAAAATATTCAAGCTTCCTTTCTCAAAAGTAGAAGCAAGGACTGAGAGAGTTCAGCTATTAAACCTCTGCTAAATGATCAAACTCTATTAAACTCTACTCAACCCTGTACCCAAACTCCTTCCCCTCAGTCACTCTGAGACACCCTTCTACATTTTTCACACAAGGTTTCAATTCCCCACAGTATTTCTGTGTCTTTCTTGAAGATCACACTCTAACTGCTGTCATGTAGCCTCTGTCTATTCTCTTCTATTGAGAAAGGCTAATTTTTTCTTCAGAGTATCATAGTTCTCCTTAAATACCATCAGTGACTGCCATTGTCAGCTGGTACAATGTTTCTGGAAGGCAATTTCAGTTTTCATCAAAAGGCCTTTAAAATATTCAGACACTTTGACTAGTAGCACTTCTAAGAGTTTATCTGAAGGAAATAATCAGCAATGTCCCAGAGATTTCTATGCAATGATGATCAGAAAATGGCTAAGACAGTGAACCACTGTAAATAACCTTTATGTCCAGCAATGGAAGATCAATTTTGTTTGGTTTCCCAACTTGATGGAACGCAGCAATAAAAGAATATTTTTAGAAGGCTATTTAATTCATAGAAAACCATCCACAGTATATTTTTTCAGATTGAAAAAGACAAGGTAGAACAATGGTACTTTTACTCCTTGTGTTATAAGACAAACGCACACTCAGCATTGACATAAGCCGAGCTCAATGTGTCTAAGAAATATTTTGACATTCTTATTCTTAGGTTCCTCCCTTCTTTTCCAGGAATCCCTTAGGTCTTCAGAGCAGATAGAGCAAAGAATTTAGGTTCAGGAATCCTGCATTTTAGGGCAGGAAGGGACCTTAAGAGATGCTGCAGGCGGGATGACTTACGCAGAGTATTACTGCCAGAGAGCTGTTGACTGTGGACTAGGACCCTTGTGTCCCGACCTCCGGCCTAGGAATTTCTCTCTAGACCCAGCTACCCACCTCAGGACCATATTCATGAACACACAGTCACATCGCACCTGCCAAATGCCAAATATATCCGCTGATCTTATCAACCCTAACAGGTAATTGCCTCTACTGCGCCCAAACTATCCCGTTGTCCTTTCCCTCCTCCTCTCTTTATCGCAAAGGAAGAGTCTCGTGCTGAGTGCGCTGGCCAGAGACCGGGCGGCGGGCGCCCCGCGGGCGAAGAACGCTCCCTACCTGCAGGCGGGGAGACTCGCTGCCGGCGACTCGCGGTGCTGCGCCAGGGACTGGAGGGCCGGCGGGTGGCGCGTGGCGCGCTAATCACCTGGCCCGCCCTCCGGGGAGGGGCCCCGCCCACCTCGGACCCGCAGAGCCGCTCCAGGAAATTCAGCCTGGACTTTCTTGCCCTTTGGCTCAAGCTTTCAATTTAGAAAGCTGGCGGATTGCTCGTCCTTGTAATGAATTTATGCCTTTCACTGAATCGAAAGTGAAACCAGTGAGATAGGTTTCCCATAAGTCAGGTTTTCGTCAAGAAGAGCTCCAAGGATAAAAGTAAATCCGCATCTAGTTTAAAACGAGCCAACATCTGAGAGCACGAAGATTTCAGACCTTGATTTTACTTTTAAAACAGACACCTGCCGTCAGGTTTAACCGTTTCTGATAAAAGACTTCAAGATGACTGAACATCTCGACATAACTTGATATAAATTCTACAACATATAGAGGGTAAAACAACAGACCCACATGGCTCTGGTTTTTATTCTAGAAAGTAGGTGCGTGTGCATAATAGGAAATATATTTTTAAATCATGGATTTTGTGACTTCCTCAAAGTTCCTGGACATAATGAAACTTCAGTTGCTTTGTCATTAAAAGAACTTCCCATCCTGAGCTACACCTTTTAAGAATGTTTTGGATTCCTCCTATCCTGCCATCCTTGGGATCTAGGCTGGGGAAGCATCTTCTAAGTGAGGGCTAAGAAAGCCCTTCCGGTAACTTCAGTTCAATGGATGGGTGAAACCAAAATGTATTATGATTCATACAGAGACTGGTGTCATAATTTACGTAAGCTTTTCCCACTGTTGGACTTCTAGGTGCTCCTTTCTTTTTCTTTCTTTTCTTTCTTTCTTTCTTTCTTTCTTTCTTTCTTTCTTTCTTTCTTTCTTTCTTTCTTTCTTTCTTTTCTTTCTTTCCCTCTCTCTTTTTCTTTCTTTCTTTCTTTCTCTTTCCCTCTCTTTCTTTCTTCTTTCTTTCTTTCTTTCTTTCTTTCTTTCTTTCTTTCTTTCTTTCTTTCTTTCTTTCTCAGTTTATGAGTGCTGTGTATGTGTAGTATGTGTACACATTCATATATAAACAAGTTTCATGAAAAAGTACTTAGACCTTCTACGTGCAATGCCATCTGACTTTTTCCACTTAATGTTTCCTTTTGCTAAAAATGATGGTCAAGATCTAGGATATAGACTTTATCATCTGCTAGTGTGGTCTGAAAAAACTGGCTCTAGAGCCATCTACCACAAACTAGCTGAATTAACTTGGACAAATAGTTTACTGAGTAGCCAGGATTAAGTCATATCTTCTTACATGGCCTCTATGGTCTATGAATAACTTTTAAAACTTGACGGGGGGAGGGGTGTTTTGGGTTTTGTGTTTGTTTGTTTGTTTTATGAAGCAATGTTTGGGGTCTACCTAAATGATCGAGGGGGAAAGCAGGAGGTGAATGGAATTTGCCTTTCTCTGAAACTGTTGGTGGAAATTGGAGGTATTTACTCAGTTTGCTGCTCAGTCTTTCCATATTAGTAATCTGAGGATTTGTGGTTGTTTTCATCTCTTCTGCTTGTTTCCACCTTTCAACCATTCATTTTCCCATACAGTTTGATCAAGCTCCTTAATGAAATTTTTGGTATCCTCCAGAGATAGAAAAACAGGATACGTTTAGAAAAAGAGAAATCTTATTTTATCATCTCAAAAACTATATGTCAATCAAAACAGCTGGGGAAGGGGAATAAGTCCTGAAAACTCGCATGAGTTTTGTGATTTGGGCAAAGTGGATGGAGAATGCTGAGATAGGAGAAGAGCGCTGGACAGCCA